AGGTCTTGGTGTCAACAGATTCAAGAAGAAACATTATCCATTATTTCTGGTCATTCACACTTGTTACTTTGTCATTGTATGTTTTAGAATCTTTCATAACAACTATCAAGGCTAAACAATGCTATTAGCCTAACCCTAGAGGGAGGCGTAGAATTTTGTATTATTTGTTCATGAGTTTGATAACTACCAGCTGGAAATACGGCTAGTATGCGATTGTAAAGATTGTCATTTCATCTGAGAAATAACCAAAACAAATGTATGGGCAACACCTTTGTTTATGAATGTGATGTCATCGTGGTACAATGGCGTAGTACTACTGAGACAGGAGCTTTTGGACAGAAGTTCCTGATGTTAGCATGGATTTAAAAAAAAGCAACTCCAGGTCCGTTTTGATGAGGGAAACAATGTTGCAGCATGATTAATGTTACAGTATGTTACAGTCATAGCTGATGTAAAAGCAGCGTGCCCTTCCTATTGCACCAAATTCTTGTTAAAGTAAAAATATCTCCAGCAGCACATTTTTATTTCTCTATTCTCTAATCCAGTGTCTCCCAAAGTGGGGTCCGCGGCCCCCTGGTGGGCCGCGAGGGTACTGCAGGGGGGCCGCGGGAGGTCATTAAAAAAAAATAAAAAATAAAAAAAAATATTTAATGTTAAATTTATAATGTTTTGTTTGCAATATTAAAATATTTGTGTTCATTATTTGACTTGAATAATCCACTGTAATCATTTTTGTATTACAATGTTTGTAGCAGAGGCTATTTCCCCAAAATAAAATAACCAGAAGAGCCTATTCTTAATGTTGTCTTCTTGGTTATTATTTTGGGGGGCCACGCAGACCCGTCAGATTTTTAAGGGGGCCTCGGTGTTACTGAGTTTGGGAATGGCTGCTCTAATCTATGAGTGAAAATGATGGCCCATGCCCTTTAAACCACACTTTGAAAAAATGTGAGTCATGGCGTCTTGGCATTGTCACGGTCTTGAAATATTATGCCCGTGCATCAGGGAAGAAGAAATCAATAGATGGAAAAACCTTCAGAATGTTCAGGCAGTTAATTTATTTCATTTTTTGGGCTCTCTTGCTAACCCTGCATGAACCTCACAGGCTCCAGTACAGATGCTGCTATGGAAGATTTTGTGTGTCATAAGATTTTTAATTTTGAATGAGCATTTTTCCATTTGAAATTTGTAACCATGAAAAAGCATGTTTGAATATTTTTGTCTTTAAAATTTCAAAATGACATATTTACCTTTTATTATGAGCCCTCAAATCTAATGCACTGTGAAATTTGATGAATAAAAAAGAGGACGGAGAAGATCAGATGTTTAATTTTAGATGGACCTGAATTTGTCAATTTGAATTTTTTAACAACTTGAATATTTGAATGTGTTTTTAATCTAAAAATAACAATATTAAAAAATTGCATGACATGACAACAAATCTTCCATATGTTACTCATTCTGACCACTTCACCTGCCACACATGACCATGAATCTCCCTGATGACCACGACTGATGACCACGACTGATGACCACGACTGATGATTTTCACACATGGGTTTTCCTGTCTCGCAGAGTCCACCCCCCTGACCCAGAAAAGGATTAAGGGGAAGAAAATGGATGGACGTTTTATCAATTATCCCAAATATATTTAAACAAAACTATAGTCACTGATCTGAATCTATCCATCAGAGTCAGGATTCAGTTCCAGATTGTATGTAGCTAAAATCTGGAGCAGTCTCCTAATGTAGGTCAAAACAAATCAGTTTAGCTCTGCAAAGAATTAAAGGATTGTCATTTTTTTATGTTCAATTAATTCAGTTTCCTTTCTTGTTTTGTTAAGGACTTTGTGTTGCCGTGTGTATTCAAAGTGCTTAACAAACAATCTTGTCTTGACTCAAAAGAATAATCGCCTAACTTCTGAGTGGAGTTTGCATGTTCTCCCCGTGTCTGTGTAGGTTTCCTCCGGGTGCTCCGGTTTCCCCTACCATTAAAAGCATGTACAACAGGTTTGGTATGCGCCTCCTGTACGGTGACCTCTCTTCCATCTCTGTGTGGAGTGGGAGACAAATGCGCAAAAATAACAACTGTAAAGCGTTTTGTGCCGCGGCCTGTGAAAGGCGCTATATAAATAAAAATTACTTGCTTACTTACTTATCGATTTTCAAAAATAATTGTTGATTAGATAGATAGATACATAAATAGATAGATAGATACTTTATTGATCCCCGTAGAAGAAATCCAGGTGTCCAGCAGCAGAAAACATCCATATCAACACAAGTACGTCAATTATAAAAATGTAAACTAACATTTCTAACTAACTAATATGGATCTGCACTGGGGGCCACCACTCCCTTCAGCTCAGAGCATCCAATGAAGCAGACTGACGCTACAGGCCGCCCCACATGTCACAGCTTTATTTTTTACTCCTTGCCCTTTAGGAATAAGAAAATGACGAAAGAGGCTATGTTTTTATGGTCTGATGTTGTATTTTTCAGTTGTGCAGTGAAGGTCAGACGCACATTATTTCCACTTTGCTTCACCAGCGTCGATGTCACTTTGTGGTTTGAATCAGACACGAGATGTGGAGGAAGTTAAAGGACCTTGGATGTAGCTGTTTTCAGATTGGGTTTTTTTGGTTCGAAAAACAAGATATATAGGATTACCGTGTCTTTCAAAAGAACAAAAAAAAACGTAACCTTAAAACCTTTTTGAGTGTTTTGGGAGCGCAAGAGGAAACTGTATTATTATGTATGTATTTTGAACCTGCACAACACATATTTTTACATATATCATAACTGTAACTGTAGGAGACACATTTGGGCTCTGTGTGAATGAATGTATGTTTGAAGATAGTGGAGGAGCAATGTATGATGGGCGTGTGTGTGTGCGAGAGACCACCTGTGTGTGTGTGTTTGGGCACGGTACACAAGATTATGAATGGGCGCACACCTACTAGGGAAAGGAGAGAGGTCTGTTTGGGAGGCCATCATTTCTGTTTACAGCCATTACTGTTTTGTTTGACTTAATTTTGGTATTTTTCATAGTTTATTCCTGCATTTTCCCTGTATATTCACAGGTATAGCAGCAATAATAACCGACAAATAACTTGTACCTTGTTCAAAAAAGGGTTGAAGCAAATTGGATTCCAATCCCCATTAGACATACACAGTTTAAACAATATTACACAGTAGAATTCTCAAACATACAACTGTACAGTGCAAACATTAATACTAGCACCCATGGTATAAGACGGACAACACAAAACACACACACACACTCTGACAACACACAGGCCCAAACACTCTCCGACCCTATAGTTTGATGTAGTTGCTTACCCTCCGAAAGAACAAATCACCCTTTTCCTTATGTCCTGGATTACAAACCCTATAGCTATTTTTGTTATTATTAAATCTAAAATATATATATATAATTTCAAAGTCATGAATGTGTTAAGCCAGTGAGTAGTTTAAAAATAAATACGACACTCAGATGTACGTGTAAACCCAACAGTTGGGATACTAATACTAATATTATACTAATTATGAGTATTGACTGAAGATCATGGAGCAGGTTTTATTATTGAAATTATACTTTTAACGTCCCAAACACATTGTATGTTAGTCAAATATTTAAAGAAATAGCTTTACCTGCTTAGATTTTTGACTCTTCCATTTTTATTAATCACAAATCCCACCTGCTGTTCGAGGCTGTGATCTGATTTTCAACCAAAAATGTTCCAGTTTCATGAATAATTACGGCTAATGAATATGATTTAGTCATTAAGTTCAGTAATGATCAGTAATGAGCCGAGCAGTTACAGGTGAACATGTCTAATTCATGTTTCATTTGCATAATATTTAATCAATAGTTAATTATATCAATATTTACATAAAGTTCATGTAAATATTGACAACTTGTAGAGCACAGACCTCCGTCAAGAAGCACACTAGGATTTCCATAATTGTATAAGGCGAGGAGGGTTATAAACATGTGGTAAAAATATCTGCGATTATATGGCTGCGTCTGCGGATTTTTGTTATAGATTATGTGTTCAAACACTGAATATAGACTTTACTGCCTTAGAATATCTGAATACAGCATTTTTTATTCTCTGTATGTGCTCTGTGTGTGTAGTTTACAAAGCTCAGGCTGTTCATTTAAAGGTTGATTCTTTAGTTAACCGCCTGATGACCCGCATCATGTCTCATAACATTTTGGATCCATATTAACTCTTTAACATTCACTCCTTGAAGAAAGCAATGTATATCTTTTTCTTTTTTCTGATTTTCTAAGCTGTAGGAGCACTAGAATGTTTATAATTATATATATTTTTTTTGAACCTCTATTTTCCAAATTATAGGCCTTTACCAACTGGTTGAGATGCAGTTTGATGGTAAAAGTATAACACCAAGTTAAATGCCCCAAAGATGTAGATTTCAGGTCCAAGCTTGCTTAAGATAGTCAATTTGTGCAGGACAGGTCCTGGTTAGTTGTGATGGGAGACCTCTTGGAACCCCAGGTGCCACAGTGGGGCGGCTGCGGCCAAACTCTGGTTGTGTGCTTAGGCAAGACTCTTCACCCACATTAGAATGAGTCTGACTCTGGTGTGTGTGTGAATGGTTGGTGGTGGTGGCTGGGGCCAATGGCACATACTGGTTGCCTACAGGGCAGCTGTGGCTACAGAAGTGGAATAGTCCCATGTTAAGTTTCTTTGAGTGTCCTGAAAAGGCTTGTTTGTTTTGAGTAGTATTGAGTATGCGCAGCAGACAATTAAAAACAAGCCATCCAAAGCCCTGTCGGATCAGTGCATCCCATAATACAGATCACCACATCATGTTTTCTCCTGCTTTAGATTCAATCACCAGGTTTAGATCATATTTGGCATTATCTTCATTTTCAGAATCTTCCAGCTATTGGGTCACTGCATCCTCCTCATAAATAATGGATCTAGTAGAAAGCTTAATGCAAACTAACTTTATGTCTTTTGTTGTGTACAGGTGAGCACTTGCGGATGTGTCCCCAGGGCCCCACCTGCTGCACCAGTGCGATGGAGCAGAACCTGGCCACTCTGAGCACGCGGGAGACAGAGGCGCTCATTCGGGAGGCGGGCCGCTCACTGCAGGCCTCTTATCACGCGCTGCACCGGAGCTTTGACAGTGAGTATCCACCAGGCCACGGTGAGAGTGTGTGAGCGTGTGAGCGAGTCTGCACCACAGGGACTTGTTAGCAGGATGGGGATTACGCTACAACACAACACACACAATCCACATGATTCTTTTCAGAGTCTGTGTTCTTATTACAGAAGGGCATACAGTTTTATAGTTTTATTTTCTATTTTGATTAGTTGTTGCACCTTTAATTTAGTAAGTTACTTTATTTATATAGAAATTTTCACAGACCAGGTCACAAACTGTTTTATGTATTTTTAGCCTTGTGTTATTTCTGTACTTGTCTTGTGCACACTGGGGACTTTTGAGGATGTATTCCAATGTAGATTTACTGCAAATGGCAAATGCATTAATCTGAATCTGAAGCACTTAACAATTGTTGTGGGCATTTGTCTCTCACTCCTCACAGAGATGGGAGCGGGTCAACATACAGGAGGCACATGCCAGACCTATTGTACTTATTTTTAGTGCTAGGGGAAACCGGAGCACCCGGAGGACCCTAAGCAAACACGGGGAGATCGTACTGTACAAACTCCACTCGGAAAAGCACATGGACTGGGATTCAAACCCAGGACCTTCTACCTGAAAAGCAAGAGTGCTATCTACTCAGCCACCGTGCCACAGATTAAGATTTATCTATTCATACAGACCACGTTGTCTGTTTCTCAAGGTGTGCTCAGATTTGTTGGTCTGGTTCAATTCAACTCTGATTCCCTTTGTGAAAAAAATGCTTCACACATCTGTTTCAAAAGATGGAAACTTGATTCAAGATTCAAGAATTGATTTGCCATTTGCAGTAAAACCACATTGGAAAAACCGTGCACCAGACTGATAAGATAGTACACACCAGTGCTCCTCCTGCCACTTGTTTTGTGGTTTTACAGTACATCCACAAATACAACATTTTGCCCCTAAATTTACCCCAATTGGTCCAGTTAAAGATTATACTAGATCCACAAGTGTGAACACGCCCTTATTCTAACAATAGCCATGGATACAAAGTTGCATGCTAGTTGATTTTAGCCAGCAATGCTAAAATGTGATGACTTATGATGGTATATTTTGGACACTGCTGGTTCAAAATGTACTATAGCTTATATGTATATGCTTTTCACTGTTTGAAAATGGTTAAAAAGTGAGAGTTGGTTTAAGGCAGTTTTTTTTTTTTTTTTTTGAGCCATAGCACACATTGAAACTGAAACACACATGAAACTCTGCAGCATTTATTTCACATTATTTTGACCTATTAGCTAATATAATTTCCGAAGGCAAAAAAAACAGCATCTCAAGGCTCACCAACGTCCCACGGTTGAAAAACGCTGGTTTAAGGGCGTACTAATATCATGGGGGTGGCTAATGATAAGTATTGTGCAACATTCAATCCCAAAAGGTAACAGACAACCTTTACCTAAATAGATACAGTGTGTAAAAAACAACTCTAATTTATGTCAAATACACTGCCTGTTTGTTTGGCTCACTGCAAGCTCTGTCTGTTTTCTTCGCTTGACACTGACGCTTTGATGCGTGTGTTTGTGCGTGTGTAGTCTTCTATGAGTTTTAAGGGACCGCTGACTGGGTGCTATAATGAGAGCAGAGTCAGCCAGACACAATGAAATGTGATAAGCCGCTGCCCCGATCTGCAGGCGCTCACATACATTCACATACACACAATCAGAAAGGGGTCCTCAGGGCAGTGGCTAGTTCAGCTAATGAGCGGTTGACCCACTGAGGAGTCCACAAACCCCCCAACATCACAGGGGAGAGGACAGGGATGAAGGGATGAGGAGGAGAGAGAAGTGTCTCCGTTAATGACAGCTCCACATGGGGATGAGACCAGAAAGAGACAGTGGAGAGGTGGAGACAGTTAATAAAAGTGTGCTGCTGGTATCGGGAGCAGGGCTGTGGCAGAGTTCATTGTATGCATTAAAGGGGCCATATGTTTCTCTCTGTCCTGTATTTTCTCTGTTTTGTTTTGTTTAGATTATCTCCCATAGTTACATGTGTCACAGCATTAAAGTAGCCTTGATTTTCATGTTTAGTCATCATTAAAGGGCCTTAATCTCTCAAAAGGCATTCATAAATCATGCTCTTTTCCAATACTTCTTCAACTGATAACAATAGTTCAGGGATATTCAAATTTCAAAATTGGATTTATAGCGCGTTATTGTTTTCATTTTGATGTCCCGCCCTCCACCGTCTCACCAATCAGAAAGTCTGTGATCCGGGTTGCCAGAACTCACTGCGTTGAGCTAATCTCACTAGTAAAGTACCATGTGGCACAGAACTAAAGAAGGTCTTGTTATGATTCTCAAAACATTAACGACAAAAGGAATAAACAAATTTCTATCTTTGTGAAAAAGGTGTTGGTTATAGATTTGATGTTGACAAAACTCTTGTCTATTCAGCTGTTATGGTATAAACATCCATGATAACAACTGTTTTTAAATGTATTCCTGACTTCTAGGAGGACTCTAAAATCATCCAAATGTAGTGAGTTTGAAGGAGGACAGTACAATGAATACTGTGGCCTCCTCAGTAGTCGTAATGTGGCGAGCATTCCATCTGGTCGTGGTTAGAGCCGACTGGCACCAGCCCACAGCCTTTGCAAAGTCTGGACCAGTTCACTGAAAAGACAGCTCCACTGCAACCACTCCATGGTCCGCTCCATCTGGTCCTGAATGCTTTAGAATTAACCTTTGAATCATGATTATTCTGTATGGAGGCTAGTTCTTATGGTTAACAATATGCTCTTAAGAAGATTTTCATTCATTTATTTAGGTTGGTGCTTTATAAAAGTTTAGTTTTTATAAATAACAATTTGAAATTACACCTCATGCTTGGGTCAATAAATCTTATCAATGACTACTGTATTGTGTTTTGAATATTTCATACATTTCATTTTGCAATTACTTTATAACGCTGAACCTTGATCATTTAAATCTTGTACTGTGACATGTATTTGTGTTTTATATTGTAGAATTCTATTATGCATGCCTTAACAGTATTTAATTCATGGGAAATTCAGTCTGGTAGGCTATCTGCTGCAGCCCATCCAAGCCGGCCCCTTTCACCCTCAGCCAATCACACAGCGCTGCCAACCTACACCAATTAAGCTGGCAATTTAAAAGCGAAAACCTTATTTTTTCAGTTCAGATAGATGATTTGAGCTCATAGCGAAACACACACTTGATACAACAACAAAAATGTAATGTTTTTTTTCCGTGCTACATTGACCTCAAAAGAAGTAGGCAGAGGCAAAACATACTTATAAACGTCTACCCCTTCATTGCATATCCAAATTACATACTACATATATTAGTCACGTAATACATAAATACATTTCAGAAGGGAAACTTCCAACAACTTATGCTTTTCCAAGGCATGCAACCCCCACGCTCTCATCCCAACCTCACCCTCATGCCTCCATCAGTGCCTAGGCCCCAGTGGGATCATAACCAAGGATCTTCACCGAGTGTCGCTAGCAAGGTCCAGGGTGCCAAACAAACAAACAAATAAATAATTGAATTGTTTTATGTCCCTGTGTAGTAGATATATGTGTATGTGTGTATTGTCAAAAAAGGGGGTAAAATTACTTAAAATAAAGTTGATGTATTTTACCGTTGGGTATGCATAACTTTCTCACAGTGAGACGAATTGTGTGATTGCCACTTACCCGCCTAAAAGCACATTATAAGATATAAGATGAAGGACTTTTCTCTGATGCATTGATTTGACTTGTGTTTAATTTCAGCCTATTTCACGGAGCTGCACAGTCAGTCGGAGCGTGCGCTGCAGGAGAAGCTGTCCCCCCTCGGTCCCCTGTACTCCCAGAACACCCGTCTGTTTGGAGACCTGTACACGGACCTGAGGCAGTACTATCGCGGCTCGGCCTTGAACCTGGACGAGACCCTGTCCGATTTCTGGTCCCGCCTCCTGGAACGCACATTCAAGAGCTCCGCCTCCTCTGATGTAAGCAAAGCAGGGTTTATATATGTGCTGTAACATGGATGGTACATTTAAATACAGTAGATCAAATAATTGCATTTAAAAGAGACACAGTTGACAAATACTGACCCAAAAGCTGCTGTTTTAAATGCAAGCCTATTTAGTCTATTTTTCTCAAGAATTAACCTGTTTTATTTTTTATTTTTAAGAACACTCTTTTAGCAAGGTTTTATTGAGTGTACCACAGCATACAGTCTTTGCTTTTTCTCTTTTTAGTCTGTTTTACAAACATCTTAACTGGTCCATTATACAAGATCTACGCAATTATTCCAACAGAAATAGTAAAAGTAAAATGTTAAAATGTTGTGAACAAATACATATGACCACCACACTATAATGTTTCATCTTATTAGAACACATTTTATCTTCTGCATAGATCTTCTGCATCGGTTTTATATACAGCGCTTTTCACTCAACGACGCTTCACATGTCATTACTCTTTCACTCTGTACACTGTGGTGATAAACTACTACAGCTGCCCTGGGGGCACACTGACAAAAGCGAGGCAACCAGTCTGTGCCAACGGCCCCTAAGACCACCACCAGCCATTCACACATGCCCGACGCATTCTAATGTGGGGAAGTGTCTTGCCAAAAGGACACAGCCACAGTTTGGCACAGCCGCAGCCGTCCCACCGTGGCACCTGGTGTTCCCAACTGTCTCCCATCACGGTACTAACCAGGTCCTGCACTGCATAGCTACAGAGGTCAGACAAAATCCGGCTGTCGCTTATGGAAGTATGGCCACTCATATTTGCAAGGAAGAAAGAGCCCAATTTAAGGAACTGATAAAAACTAGTTCGACTGCAGGTCATCTGGACACAAAGATTAGGCCAAAGTTATCATTCTATTTTACATGGTTAGACTTCCATGGAGGAGACAGAGAAAGCAGCCGTGTTTCCACAACTCCAAACCAACGTCTTCTAATCTCTCCTCCACGAAGCAACCTACTTTATTCAATGAACCACAGTCTTAAAACACACCCACAAACAGTCATGAGGAAGTACAGCTTCAAAGTTAAGCCCTCCATATTTACATGCAAGCAGTCGAACATATGCATACAGGACACAGGAGGCAAAGGAGACAATGGCCCACATCTGTATGAACACCTCCCGCCAGACCTCTAGCAGACGAGAGTACTAATATACATATACCGGCCATGTCATGACATGGATTTAAAACATTATGTTCTCAGAATTCATTAAAAAGATAATCTAAAAACAACATTTCAATAGCAGGAACCTATTTATTTTTAATTATTTTTATATCTTTATTTATCCAGAATCGACATGTTTGCTTTGACTATACAGAAATGAACCATAACATTCAACAATGTTCAATGTTCAACATTCAACATTCAATGTTATTCAACATAACATCAATCATATTATTGATTTCACATGTTGACGACGTTCATACAAATCAGTTACAATCTCTGTCTGACACAGTCCTTCGCTTCGTCCTTCTCATCTTAAGATTTTGGCTTATGGTCGGTCTTGCGTCTCCAATGTGACAAGCTGATAAGATTCCATTTTTAGATGTGTCACTTGGGCTTACAGTGTTTCTCAGCTGGTTTTATCACTCCCTCATGTGCGCCTTGCTGGATTGTAATGATAAGGAAAACATTTTTAAAGTCCTTAAATATATTTCATTTTTAAAGTCTGATCTATGTTCAGCAGTTTTCTGGCATAAACAACAGAATCAGAATCATTTTTATTGCCATGTAAGTAACAGGAAGTCCAACAAGTCAAAAGTAGAGAAAGAAAAAGGAATAATGAAACATTTATAAAGTATAACATTTTCTAAAATAGAAAAAGTAAAAAAGTATAGAGACATAAACCCATGTCACCAAACCAGCCTCTTTAGAAACAAATACTTGAACTTGTTTTGTTTAGTTTAGTTTTGATAGAGTGTGCGTCTTGATAAGATTAAGATTAAGAAGATGTACGGCCTCTCGCTCCACTGACAATGTGGAGGATTTCAAGTTTTTCATACAAAAACACAGACAAAAAATCCTGGCAAAACATCTCAAGCTTTTAGTCTTTTTGGTGTTTGGCAGAAATTATATCCGGGGTTCCAAACTTTCACACTACAACTAAAATAACTATGTGCAAATGTCTTCCCTCCCAATACAGTTCTATCAGTTTTCCCACAGATTTATTTTTGGCCTCTGTCACATCTTTAGATCAAGCCTTTCATGTGAAATAAGAACCATTCTCACTCAGCCAATCAGCTCTCAGTGTCAGATAGTGACTGTCAGGCCTCTTTCCAACAAGTATGCAAAATATGTTTTCTCATATACAGAAGGTTCTGGTCTGATTTGTTCACACCATTTTACTATTGCAAGACTCTGTGTGGACAAACATCATGTATTAATTATGAAATGATAAAGTTAGGTACCCCAGCTTTAAGGAATAGTGATGGTCGAATAAGATTCAGATTCAGTTTATTTGCCATTTGCAGTAAAAAAACCACATTGGAATACATTAGCGAAAAGTCTCCAGTGTGCACAGACAAATACAGACATAAAACAACATTAAAAGACAAAAATAAAACAAATAAAACAGTAAAAAATGTCACTGTGAAATCGATCGACTAAAACAGTTCAAAACAAGTGCAAATCATTAAAGTGCTCTGTTCACACTGATAACAGCTTGTGGATAAAAACTGTTAGCGTAACGAGATGTCCTGCATCTCAGAGAGCGATATCTTCTACCAGAGGGAAGAAGCTGGAACATGGCTTTCCCAGGGTGGCCAGAAGAGTCATTGACAATCCTAAGAGCTTTGTTTAAAAGTCTGGATTTATAAAGAACCTCCAGAACAGGAAGTTCACAGCCCACGGTCCTCTTTGCAGAGCGGAGCACCTTGTTTAAAGCTCTCTTTTCTTTATCTGTGATGTTTCCAAACCACACAGACACAGAACCAACAAGTAAACTCTCAATGGTGCAGCGATAAAAGTTAAGCAGAATCTTAGAAAAGATATGAACCTTTATTCTTGCCTTTATACAGTAGTGAGAGCACACAGGGAGCACACAAAATATACAATACAAGTAGCTGCAATGTTCCTCAGCTAGCTATATACTTGAATATCTATAAATATTGATATATCTCAAATGTACACTACCGTTCAAAAGATTGGGTTCACATTGAAATGTCCTTATTTAAATGACTATTCTAGCTGCAAATGTCTGGTTTTTGGTGCAATGTTGTAATTGCTGCAAATGGAGAATTCTTTGACGAAAGCAAAGTTGGATGTAAAACAAATCTTATTTCAAATACAAATCCTTATTTCTAACCTTGTCAATGTCTTGACTCTATTTTCTATTCATTTCACAACCTATGGTGGTGAATAAGTGTGACTTTTCATGGAAAACACTTGTGTGACCCCAAACTTTTGAACGGCAGTATAAACTGTACATTACACTGTATAGTGTAATATTGTATACATATAGGGCTGGATAAGTATATCCAGTGGCATCCAGTGGACATTCTGAAGTTGCAGTATATGTCTAATGCAGTGTTAAGCCTTGGTACACCTTTTTAGTTGAACAAATCCCACGGCATACCACCAGCTGAAAAATGAAGCTATTATTATGAAAGCAAAGTTTTTTTATTCAAAGTTTACTATATTGAAAATAAAGCAAGCGCAAAGTCTTTTTCTTATCACTTTGTTTTGACCAATTATGTGATATTGGATTTTTCCCCAAGGCACAGCTAACAATATCTCACGGCACACTTGCGAACAGCTGTTACTCCCTCCCACTCATTGACAGCTGTGGTTGTGTGTGGCAGGTCAGCCTTTCCGAGGACTACCTGGATTGTGTGTCCAAGCAGCAGGAGACACTGCGTCCGTTCGGAGACGTCCCGAGAGACATGAAGACGAAGGTGGTGCGGGCCTTCGTCACTGCGCGCTCCTTCGTCCAGGGACTGATCGTCAGCGGGGAGGTGGTGAGGAAGGTGTCACAGGTGAGTGCAGGAGACACTTCTGTCAGCAACTGTTTGTCACGGACAAAAGCAAATATAGACTCCAGAAGGTGCCAACTGTATCTGTTTAGCTGTGTTCATGTTGTTGGGTTCTATTTCAGTTGGAGGGCAGGTGCCAGTACAACTCTATCTTAGGAAAAAAGCAATTATGAAAGAAATGTTGAAAAAAGAAAAAGTAAAAATGTCTTCTCGTTATTTGATTAGATTCACAAACCTGCCCTTCGTACTGGCCAACATTTTGCATACGTTTAAAACAAATATTGTCACCACTTCTTAGTTAGTTAGTTAGTTATTTATTTCAAAGCCTGCACAAAACAAGATACAAATATCAAATGAAAAACATGTAACAAGTTTTGAAAAAGGGAGTTGGGTGAAGCAGATGCTTATACATTTCCAACCCCCTCTCACACATACAGCAAAACAGCAAATACAAAATAAGCACTAACAGTGTACAGTTACATCATTACATCGCAGTAAATAAGCAAGACACACAAAGACAAGACGCACACTGGTTTTTTTCACTCACACAGACAAGACACTGGCCCAAACACTCCCTGACCACACACCTCTCTCCCACCGCTCTGTCCAGGCATACTGTATCTTCTTCATATCGATATGTACTGACAACGTTTTTGTTTCATGTGGATTGGCCCCTGATTTACACAGAGATTAGCATTAAGCCAAGATTAGAGGTCGGACTTCTGACAGTTACCATAGTTACCACCAGGAAAAAATATTCAGTTGGCCTTTACCACATTGTTAAGCTATGTGCTCTCTAGAATGCGTTTTTATGACATCTATTTTCACTGGGATTCCGTTCAGTAAAAAAAAAATATATATAAAAATTACAGATAGTGTATGTCAATTATTTATAGACATAAGCTTAACTGTCAAACTAAAACACATGTGATAAAAACACATCCATGTAACTACAGTAGTTCCTAGCTTTCAAAGAGGACAAAAATCCTGTCACATCCCCAGATCAGCTTTTCAGACAGAAAAGTAAAAACGAGAAGACAAACCTCAAAAATTCAAAATATTAAATGTTTTTTTAGACCCATTATAAGACCCTTTTCTGTTGGGACAAACAACATGTAGACTATTATGTACAGTATGTAAGTTAGGTATCTCAGCTTTAACCAGGAAGTTAAAGTTAATATTTTTTTGATATTGTAATGGCTGTTTCCTTTTCCATTAAGAGAATGCTAATCCTAAGGTAATTATTTTGTTTTGCCAGGCATATGTGTTATTTTGTGTGTGTTTGGGTGGGGCCAGGTAGAGTGCAGTTCCTTTTAATGACAGTAGAGGGAACCTGTGAGTCGTGACGTGGAATCTGCCCTGGGTTTAGGCCCAACAGTTTTATGACTGCTATTTTGTGGAAAACTTAATTGTGGATGTGGAATTGTGGAATCTGTTTGGAACCATGGAACTTGTACCTCAATAAAACCGCATTTCTCCCCTAAGTCAGGACTCTCCGGTCCGTTTATTTTTTTCAAAAGCACACATCAAGCTAAAGCCGTGGCCCAGGCTGCTCACAATGACACCATCAAGACATATTTTAAAAAAGAAAGAAAAAACATATATATAATAACATTACAAACTCAAGTTGTAGATGCCCAATATACAGTAAGTCTGACATATGGGATATTTTTGGCTCTTCATATTCTTCCTTTTACTTTGAGACAAAATTAAATGACATAACCTTAACCCTGTAATAACAACAAACTATTTGTTGATAGCGTCACGATGGCCGTAGTCCTCAGGTTCTCTGGTTTTGCCCTGAGGTTGGGACACACCACAACATAAACATATTTTCCACTTCCCTGATGTTTTTCTCTAGGAGCCGAGTCTCAGCAAAGCACTTATGATGGATTTACAATGGTCACACCCAAACTGCCACAGAAAATAATATCTCCGCCCAAAATACAACCCATCAAAACTTTTGCCGTCCTCATCTGCCGCGAAGCCTTATCGTGTCCAGACGTGACAATGCAGCTGTCAGATCCCTGTGTACTTATTTGAACAATTGAAGGGTTTGAAATGTTTACTGCGGACATTTTATGCTATTACAATTATATATTATTATGAAAAACACTGCACTTTAGATACATTTGTCGTTATTCTTGTTTTTAACAAACGGCATTCAATCACATTTGTGCATGTCACTTTTTTAATTCTTTTTTTTAATATACTTTATTTTTGAGTTTTTGCCTTTAGAATTAAAATGGTCAGAATGTCATAACTCAAAAACCTAACTAGGCTTACTATTATATTGCAAAGTAAATGATTACATAGAATAATAACAATGATAGTAATAATAACATCTAAAAAAAATTAAGAAACTAAAAATACAATAGATAAAAAGAAAATTGGAGAAAAACGTATAGATAATAATAAAATGTATACATAAAAAAAGAGTAGTAATAACAATACTAATAATCCACTAAAGGTTAAGGTTTTTAATTCTAAGGGAGTTAGAAGACATCAATCTTGTTACAAAAATACAGTTATAAAAGCAAAGACATTCCTTACATGGCAAAATACTCAGATTTAGATTCATTTTATTTGACATTTGCAGTAAAACCAGACTGGAATACATCCGCAAAAGGCCCCAGTTTGCACAAGACAAGTACATAACCAAAAACAAGGTTAAAAGTACAAAAATAAAATAAACTCTTGTCCAGAAGAGACGTTTTACATATTTAATCCTCCTTATTTCACCCTGGTGGACTTTATGACTGATGATAAAACACAGGAGCTCTGCATAGACTCACACCGCCCCAGGAGTGCCCTCTAGTGGCTGTTAGTGTATCCTCGTGTCAGGCAGTATAAATATCAGATAAGCTCTATATTGGATTAAGCTGATCTGTGGTGTGTGTAGGTGTCTCTGAGCCTGGAGTGTGTGAAAGCTCTGATGAAGCTGGTGTACTGTCCACACTGCCGCGGCATGGCCTCCATCACGCCCTGCTCCAACTACTGCTTCAACGTCATGAAGGGCTGCCTCGCCAACCAGGCCGACCTCAACTCCGAGTGGCACAATCTCATAGGTTTGTCTGCTTAGGTATTTATTTTGTTTGAGCAATGTAACATAAAAATAGTATGCAGTAACATCTCAGATAGAAATAAGCAAGAAAAGCACACAAAAACAACTGTATCAGAGCTAAATTATTATACGATAAGGGGAAATTTCAATGTCATCGTTGCTCACAATACAGCAGAAAAAGGGAGGAAATAATTGTAATTTATAGTAATATGTATTTATACAGCCAGCCATGAGTATGTGAAAAAGAACGCATCACAAAGATTAAATGTTAGTGTCTTTTGTTCCAGTAAGGTATAAATCATTTGGTGACACAGATAAGAGATATTTTCTTGAGGACATTATTGATTATAAATTGTAATATAGTTTATAATATTTTGGAATAAACAATACATATACAAATGACTGGAATAAGCAATAATACGTCCCCTGTGTATGTCCTTTGTGAACAGACACCATGATCCAGGTGGCGTCCAGTTTCAGCACAGAGCCCAGTCTCGACGTGGTCCTCTCCTCCATCCCGTCTCGCATCTATGAGGCTGTTTACTACCTGAAGGATAACATGGAGTCCTTCACTGCTAAGGTACAACTTTCACTTTCTTTTATTGTCTTTTTTGATGTTATTTATTGTATTGTACGTTCAGATGAGAGCTACTTTGTCCAAGTCTTCCTCTTATGGATTAGTAATGTTATAAGTTCAAACCAGTGGGAACGGCTCCCGGCTCCAAAATTTCCATGAGCACGTGTGCTGACATGCCTGCAATCTCACCAATCTCACTCGGGGGTGTCGGTGGGGGTGTACCCAGAAACAGAATTACCCAATGAGTTTGTATGGCGGCTACCTTCCTCTCAATGGTCCAAAAGTCACTCTTGACCCAAGATGCTGTCAATGCTGAGGAGAGTTTTTTTTTTGACCACTCTCGTTTAGCCGCTGTGGACCTTTGAATGGAGCTAAGGACAGCTAACTCATGCGCAAATGCATTTTTTCACATTTAAATGTGAAAAAGCCCACAGAAGGCAAAAGGCAACGGCAGAGATAGGCGTGACTACATCCATTAATTTAGTCTATGGGTGTAACTTTAACTTTCTTATTTTATCTTATTTTTAGGTTATATACTTTATCCAAGTCTTCCTCTTATGGACCAGTAATGTTATGAGTCCAAACACAGAGCATTACCATCCAGGCCTTACCAAATATATTTTGGCTATTCATTTCGAGCGTGGTTATCATATCTTACAACTTGATTGCATTTTAGATAAACGATTCTGGCAGAAAAAAATATCTTAATTGTATCTCATTGGACATTATTAAGATTAGAGTTTGTTGCCGTAGGTTGGACTTAGCTGATACAAGTTTATTTCAGTGCTGCTGTAATAAAGGCAATTCGCTTTTGTAATGATCCATCCTGTGTTGTAATGTTTGTCATGTTGCTTTAGTGACACCTAAAGGGGAAATTAAGTACTGCGTTTAGTTTGGGGCCAGTACCAAAACCTTGAAATCAAACAGTATCTTTATTAGCTCAAGCTCTTTTTCCCTATCAGGTGTACCAGACGTGTGGGACACCGGGGGAATCAGCCACTGGGACCCCCACAGTCCAAGACCAGAGGCGGAAAAGCAGCTCCCTGACCGCTTCAGAGAGTAAACCATCTCCCACTGCTGGGATCAGACTGGAGATGCAGGTCTGTGTGCACTGATCAAATATGGTTTTAAATGTTTTTATTATTATTATTATTATTATTAAAGCGGTTTCAGCTTGTACTCTTCTATTACTTCTAGGTGCACTATGCAACTTTTCTGGTAGAGGGCGCCACCAGCTTCTTGTCTTCCATTAGTAAATAATGTCCCATAATACGGCAATAATCTTGTGTACATTGTTGTAACATTATGTATTTATTTGTATATACTAAAAATGATATGAATTCCTACAGTATCACATAAATCTCTTACATGAGTATTCGACCAAATGTCATAGTAAAAATCTACATGTACATACCATAGACTGTAAATAAACATACAATTGTTAGTCAATTGGCAATGAGAATTAAATATCCAATTCTATCCAATTTATTTATATAGCACATTTTATAAAACATGTTTCCAAAGTGCTGCACACAAAAAAGTAACACATTAAAATATACAAGTCTGCCCGCTTTAAATAAAATCGATTAAATGAAATAAAAAATATATATTTTTTTATATTAATTATCTATATACATAATTAAGCATAAAACAATAGAATAAATAAAAAAAATCTTTCTAGTACCACAATGAAATACACACAATGAAATTGACGTCCCCTGAACCTGAATAATCTAAAGAGAGCAATGCAAAAGTTCTATAAAAGAACATTTATACCAAGCGCGTATTTAACTAAACATACGATTTGGAACTACAGGTACTGTATGTTATATTTGTGAGTAAGAATGGTTGATTTGGATGTGTGCAGGTGTCTGTCCTCACCACGAAGCTGAGAGAGATGAGGCAGTACTGGATCGAGCTTCCCGTTGCTCTGTGCGGAAAAGTCTCTGAAGGCTCCAGTCCGGACAAATGCTGGAACGGGATATCCAAAGGGAGGTAAGAGACCAGACCATCAGCAAACACAACCTCTTTCATAGTTACCCTCACTCCGTGCAAAGGCACAGTTTGAAAACGCTGATGCAATGATGTTCATAATGATCTTTTTTTTTCATCTTTAGTCAGAATTGTCAGAACATTGTTTTAGGTGAGGTGAGTTATAGCAGGGTGGCTGAGTGAATAGCACCCTCAGCAAGAAGGTCCTGGATTCGAATCTCGGTCAGAACAGGGCCTTTCTGAGTGGAGTTTGCTTGTTCCCCCTGTGTCTGCGTAGGTTTCCTCCAGGAGCTCCGGTTTCCCCTACCACTAAAAACACGTACAATAAGTCTGAATGTAAGGAGTGAGTGAATGGATGGTGTGGATTGGGGGCTTTGATGGTCCAGTGTGTTCGGCGTCTCGCTTCCGTCATCACCGTGTGGAGTGATTGCAACAATATCTAAACTCTGAACAGTGTAAAGCGCTTTGGGTGACCTTGGTCCGTAAAATGCCATTATGTGCGCTATATAAATAAAAATGTCTTACTTACTTACAATTCATATACAAAGGCAACTCAAAGTGCTTTACAAAAGTCATAGTCTATCATGTAACAGCACAATGCATTTGTATTATTCGGTTTTCTTTACTCTTTTCACTGTTGTATTTTAAGTGTATACAGAAAGTACTTATATTTGATATTTAAATAGACAGTAAAAAAGGGGAATGCACTCGGATAAACTTCTGTCTAGTCCTTTTTCTTCTGTTTTCTCCCCTTGTTCCCATGGATTGATACCATGTACAAACCTTCTGTTATTACTCTAATACATAAAATGCCAGAAAAAAAAACAGTATTTACAAGTAGTGCAGAGCCAGACAGTCAGACCCTTTTAATATTGGTAATTTATTCTGTTCAGAAAATAAATATTTCCACTGACTCATGTAAATTATTAAATATTTTGACATTAACATTAACATTCCACTTTTATGTCAAACCGTTCCCTGATGAAATATATTGAAATCAGTAAATTATAAAACATTATAATTATATGTGTATGATATTTAGAAGTGTATATTTGCCAGCACTATTCCAACACAAGCCTTTCTCATCACATTCTGACTCTGCTCTTAGTGTCTGGTCCTTTTTTTAAATGAAGTGAAGAACAATCTAATGCTCTCCATGTTATTTCACGCCCTCCACACTCCCCTAATGCCTTGAAATTCTCAGCTTATGACCGTCTGATTGATAGTGAGTAAAGCAGGCTGCAAAGCCCGGGGCGGCACGGCTCTAAGTAATTGTTAAAGGCGTAAAATAAATGTGTGTGAGTGTCTTTTGTTACTTAGAGACGGGAGCGTGACCACACATACAGACGGAAAGCTGAGTGCAGAAAGATTATGGAAATATACAATGTGTGGCAGGCACTTACTGAGATGGATGTGCTGTAGAGTGGCTCCACACTGACACCTGCTGGATGGACTTAATCAGTGCTCAATGCTTTGTTATGGCCAACTATGATCCATCTGTCAATCTTACTAATAATATTCAACTGTGATTTTTATGTATTTAATAAATCGTAATTTCAATATTATGCTGCTACTTTCCACAATTTCTTTTTTATGACTAATTATTGTGTTATGTTAGATTATTTTGTTTGTGATTAAGCTGCTTATTTGTATATACATATAGCTATACTTATATACTATTATATATAGTTTATAACATTAAAACACTCATTTACTTTATAATATATAGCCATGTTGTTTTTTGCACCTTTAAAAATGACATGTGAACAGTGTTGGGGAAATGTATTCTGAATACTCATGTTGTAGTCATTGTTTAGAGGCACATTTCTATAAATGTTATAGAAAATAATCGAATATGGATGTATGGTGGTATGTAATGTTACAGAAGTAGCTTCAAACTGAACAGAATTAGTTTGACAAAAGACTCTTTTGCAAAGTGCTCATTCTTCTTCTTGGCTTAGCGTGAGAGTGAGGTGTACATGTTTGACTTTGGACTCAAATCTAGCATGTAGAAAGCCCTTTTGCTGCAAAACATTTTAATTTTGGAATTTTGGACACAGTCTTTGAAGTGCCTATATTAGCTTCCAAAAACCTAAATTAAGTTCAATTCATTTCTGTATTGCCCTAGCTTTGTAATGTCTGATTGCCCAACAACATATCCGAGAATCAACAAACACTTTGAACACAGGGAATATAATAATAACTAACACAGAGGAGGCGTTGTTCCATAGGGAGCGAGACGTCAAATGTCCATAAACGTCCCGGATCATCACTTTCATGAGATCCTATCGGAAAGTAACATCTCAAAAGAAACCCAGTGGGAAGCCAACATTTAGAGAGGGATCTGCTGCCACGGATGGACAGGCGATAGATCCACAACTCAGGCTGTAGAACGAGGACTGAGGCTGTGCGGTGCAGGACTGAAGAGGGTGCTAGGCAGGGAAGGGGGTGCAGCTCATGACTCTGGCCTGGGGGCGATCAGTTCACAGGTGCAGAGACTGGATTCAGGGATCAGCAGGTGAATAGCAATAAACAGACTACAGCTGAAGTCATAATGATGTCAGATAAAGAAGAAGAGAGTAGAGGATAGTCCTAAGTTACCATACTTCTCCCTGCTAAGGGTCTCAATTCATCTACTGTACCCATATGCTGAATCAAAGAGGAATGTTTTAAGCCTGGCCTTGACTGTAGAGCCCGTGTCTGCTTCCTTGACGTGGATGTGAAGCTGATTCCACAGTATAGGAGCTTGTGCGCTAAACCCTCTACCTCCTACTGTGCTTTTTGACACTCTGGGAACCACCAGATGTCTGCTGTTTTCTGAGAGCAGAGCTTGGTTTGGTTGATATGGTACTCATGTCTCTTGGAGATAGAAGCGGGAAATGTACAGCCTTGTATGTTCTATTTTCCACGGGAAGCCAGTGGAATGATTTTAACACTAGAGTTGTATGTTTCCTTCTTTTAGTCCCTGTTACAATCCTTGCTTCAGCTTTTTGGATGAGAGAAAAGCTGCAGTAATAATGTTGAGGTGACAAATGCGTGACTCCAAGATTCCTTCCAGGCTTGCCATGGCCACACTAACACAATCAAGTGTGATTATCTACTCAGCGAGGGAGTCATGCACACCCTGTTGCATAAAATTATAGAGATGTTTAAATTCAACAAGATAACTCTTTAACTGTTTCTTATTTGTACATTTTGAGAATAAATCATGGAAAAAACTCTCATATTCCTCGCATCCTGTATGTTACAATGGTGGCCAGCAGATGGTGCACGATTGTATTGTTGTAGTGCATCAAAAACTCTTGAACGGGTGGTTTAAAGTATGAAATCCTAAAGTATTAACGTAATTCAAACTCACCTTTGGTTTTCATCTCAGTCTTCTCATTGAATGATGGTCCCATGATAGTCCCATGGTGGTCCCATGGTGGTCCCATGGTGGTCACATGGTGGTCCCATGGTGGTCCCTGATGGTCCCATGGTGATCCCATGATAGTCACATGGTGGTCCCATGCACTACTGAGCACAAGCCATTAATTTGATTAGGTTGCCATCTTGGATCACCAGGGCTTGGGTGATACCCCCCAAGCTGCAAAGCATTGTGGGATATTTGCAATTATGCAGGTATAAGATTTTGTTACTGAATACATTTTGAAGGAATTCTCCCCATTACTTTGAATTAGAACATGTGTTCTTACACCTTCTAAATTTTAAAGAGTTTCTGAAAGGACATACTTGACATTTCTATCTTTGCAGGTATCTTCCGGAGGTGATGGGAGACGGGCTGGCCAGTCAGATCAACAACCCTGAGGTAGAGCTGGACATCACGAAGCCGGACATGACCATCCGCCAGCAGATCATGCAGCTCAAAATCATGAGTAACCGGCTGAAAAACGCTCTGGAGGGAAACGACGTGGACTTCCAGGATGCAAGTAAGTTTCTCAAAACTTCACTTCAGGATTATAGGATTGTCAAATAGCTTCCGGGTACAGAAAAGACCGGCAATATGAGCTGGGAAAACAGGATTGGACAGTTTACTGACATCAATGGCACTGTGAACATGGAAGTCCTGTGCATTTTGAACAAAGTTGATTTGGCCAAAATAAAAGTGAAGTACCTGCCAATACCCAGCTCAAACTGAGATGAGGACGGGCCGTGAAGTTTTTGGCTATTATACTTTTTTATCATTATTTTCAGAATCTACTGACACAAATTCCATATGAATATTTGGAGTTTTTTCTCCCTTAATAAAATCATGGAATCAATAGTTGATGACATCTGTGACCATTTCACGTTATGACCACTTCAAATATTAAAACAAATGAAATATAAGTTAGTCTGTCCAAAATCCAGAGCTGATAACTTGTGGTTGTGTGAAACTAATCATAATCAAAGTTGAAATCAAGGTTTTTTGACTGAATTAAGTTGCACATGTTGAGTAAAAGCACAGTTTCACAGTAAGTTTCATGATACAAGTTTAGACACTGCTGACTCGGCCTATGTGAGATTATTGAATTGGATTGAAATGTCTAGACAATGAAAGTACTGGCAACACCTTGGGATTCAAGCCCAGTTAGTCCAGGTTATGTACTGGGAATACATTATTCTAAATACTATATTTGGGTTATGAAATGTTTTGTAAATAATGACAATTGAATTTTCATATTTGGATGTTTTTTTTCTTTAATGGTATTACTTTAAAAAAAACTGAAAGACATGTTTTTCATAACATTACAACAAAGCGCCTGTGTCCTTTTCTAATGAACAATGACAATAATGAATAATGAATGAATTTGCAAATGTTGTTTTAATCCATCCACCCAATATTTTTACGCCATAAATTGATGCAAATGAGCATATACTGTATGTCTTCCATGGCATTCAGTATTTCAAGTATCCAGAATACAGTACTCTGGTTGGCCCATATCACAACATATGTTACAAAATACTTGTAAAAGGAAGTAATCAGTATTCTCCAAATTAATATTTCTGTTCAAAGTATTCTCCCCTAGTGTGGCCTTTTCCATTTCGCAGCTCGTCCCTGTTGAAGCCCAACGTCAGTGCAGTCTGTGTGTGAAAGCAGCCATTGCGTTGAGGGCTTGTTGTAGGTTGTTAGAGTAATCTAATTTAATTTGCGTTATGTTGTGTTCTGATCCGTGTAGGTGAGGACATCAGCGGCTCGGGAAGCGGCATGTGCATGAGCGGCCAGTGCACTCGGAGCAAACCTGGCCTGTTCGCTTATCCACCCAACAACAAGGGAGCAATGGGCACAGCTACCCCCCCGTCCCGCCTCTCTAACATCTTAATCCTTCTCCCATTGGCTGTCCCACTTCTGCAGCGATGATTGACAGCTCCACCACCATAATAGACTCTACTGTCTGGACTAAAGCATGAACAAAAGGACAATGCGGCTTGGAAAGAGATGCTTTTTGGACGCAACTTTGCCAAAATAAAGAGTGAACTTTTTGAGGGAAACTGACAATATTTTTATTTTGTTCATGTATGATAGTTTGTTGAGGCGTCTTGCAAGAAACATGAAGAAAATAACATTTTTTTTTCCCCCAGCCATTTTCACCTGTCAACAAAAACAAAAAATCCCCTATTTTTGGGGGTGGGGAAGTACACAAGACATAGTTCAACCTTTTGTAAACATGTGTAAGATGTAAATGTGTGTAGCTAAGAGACTGGCACCATAATGAGCCATGAATGTACAGTATAATATGGAATCTATTGACAATGAAATCCCCATGTTTCGTCGTGTGGTTGTCCAGATGTGTTTGTGTTTGTTGGCATACAATGAATAGAATCTGAAATAATACCACAGTGGAAGCCTGGTCTTAGCCATCCGTTAACTCTGGTCAATTATAATTTCCTACGTCCGGGTCTGATCCTAGTGGCTGCAGTTTCCTCGGTTGAATCCCCTCCGACCATTCAGCGAGTGGGGGATGTGGGTGTTGTTGGTCGGTGTCGGTGACATCAAGAGTTTGCGCCGATTTTGCTGGTTGTAGTTTGGCAACGAATGCAATAGTAAAATAATCTGTTCTGGTTTTGCTCCAAATATCAAGAATTTGAAGCCGGAGCAAGAGGAATGTCATTGCTGCAAAGATGTTGTGGCTTTACTCCCCACGGGCTTCGGTAGTGGCAAAGGAGATGGCTAAAGCTAGCCTAAAGCTAGGCTAAAGGCTAAATGCCGTACTCACTCGGGCGCATTACATACATCACAGTAAACTCAGACCCAATTGTTTCAATCTGCAAAAGGAGTTAACCCCTCTCACCTGTTAACTGAGCTCAATGGAGCAAACCAGACCTTAATACGAAATGAAATGAGTACAATGGTGTGTTTAGACCAGGCTACCACAGTTTCAACCCTCTTGCAATATTAGAAAATACAAGGACATTTCCATATTGTGTTTTATCTCTCAAAGCACCTGTGAACAAGCACACTAGGTTTTTACCCTAATGAAGGCAAAGACATGCACATATTCCTGAATCTTGTAGTATTTATTTTATATGAATGGTATTGGAAATTGCTTGAGTCTTGTTTGGGAAATGCTTGCAGAAAAAGCACAGCAAAATAAACCACCCGGTTTGGAACTTGCCATCAGGAAGTAGCAATTATTATGTCTCTAAAGTGTCCTTGAAGCCAAATGTATGAATCAAATGAACAAGTCCATATGACAGTAGACGTATTTCCTCAGCTGTTCTAGGGTTTTAATCTGATTTTAAGTAAAACTATGGCAAGTATCATGATGCGCTGATATCAATCTGGTGCTGAAATGCATTGAAACAAAAATGATTTTACTTTGGCTTATTGAGGCCATAAGGGTTAATATAGTCATTATTTTTACAAAGTCAGTTTGAATTGTTTTATTTCAGGTCAGATGTTTTCTTACAACTCTCTGATCACACTAGTGATAATATAACTGTAACTACTGCGCCTATTCACAAGAAAATAAAATTGCCTCAAAGTTCATTGTGTCTTCTCTGTCAGTCTAAAGAGACACAAGGAAACTCATTTGGTTCAATCCAATCCACTTTATTTATAAAGCACAATTTATAAACAAACAGTTCCTACAGTGCTACACAGAAATGAAAAACTGAATTAAAACATATCACATGACTAAATATTAAACCAAGATATCAAACATAATTTAAAAAAAGCTATTTAATAAAAAAGTCAATCACGTAAAATTGTGTTCACAATATTTTCAGAGAGTACACAGTGCCAATTTCAAATCTCTAATTTACAATGTCAGATAAAAGTGGAGCTAAGACTTTTAGCACACAATGGATTGATATATATATATAAGGGTCCCCTTCTCAACAGCTCAGTGACAGAATAGAACAAAGACCTAAACAAACATACCAGGCCGTTCTCCTGATGCTGTTCCAACATACATGAGGAAAGGCCTGTTTCGATGGCAACATCCTCTGATGAATATTCAATGAACAAGTGGCATCGAGTGTTCACTACAACGTTACAGATCTGCTGTTGGTTTATTGTTCCAACTCATTTAAGAACAGAGAAAAAAACAAAGCCGTTGACCAAATGATACTTTAAGACTTTAAGGTCTTTCCAGGAATACTTTCTTTTTGAAATAATTGAAGCAGGCTGTAGGACAATCGGATTTATTGGAGTTCTCAAAGATGCAGGAGAATGACTTTTCTGATGTAATGTGGGAGATGAAGAGATGAAGGTCGAGGAAACGACATGCACACCTTCAAAGTGACGCAGGGCACATTAAGATTGGGGTTTTTGTTTGATTAATGTTCAAGCATCTGTGTAATCTCACATTTCATTAAACTCTGGTTGATTGTTTCATGGTTGAATTTGGTTAATGTTGTATTTTATTTCGTGCACTTTGAGTTCAAATCTTCAACAACTGATTGGAAACCATTTAAAGACAAACATAGTATGCATTATTATTGTCCATTAAAAATTAGACGTTTATATTTTCTATATATAATACTATCATACTTTGTATTTTCATATTATAGAATGTGAAAAAATATTTCATGTGGTAAATATTTGATGAAACAAATATAAAAGGTAAAAACATTTATTTATTTTTTTCAAAATTGGCAAATTACTGTCTGCACAGTAATGTCACAAAATACCTAAACTAATTTAGTTAGTATAACAAAATCAAACTCTTGCAGAAGTGATACAGGAGCTTTTAGAAGTAAAATCAGTTAAACAATCTCTGATGTGTTTTTATTTGTTGGGACAATGTTGCACGGTAAAAGCTGAACAAAGTCAACTTTGAATAGTATGTCTCCTTTAAACCCAATACGAACAACGTTATGTCATGTGCCAATGCTATTGCAGAGTTTGAATGACAGTTAAAACAAAAGTTAATGCATAAAAATAACTTTGGAACAATTCTCTTTTTTCTTGTGGGGTGTGAGCTGCTCTGCTTTATAAATAAACATGGAGATGCTTCTGACAGGCACCACCTCCTTGGTCCTGCTGAGCGTCAAAATGACAATCCCGCATCAGTCTGGGGGGTTGGAAATTAATGAATGATTTCTTTCTCCCTCATGCTGACTGTTTAATGCAGACTCCACAAATAAAACTCAAAAGATGAATACAAGTTTGTATTTTAAAAAGGCCAACACCATCATATTTGTTCAATGTTGTTTATAATTACAATAATACGTTGCAGTCAATAGGGAATGTAAGTCATGTCTATAAAAACATGGATTATACTCCCTTTAAAGCTGGGATATCAAACTTCTTTAAAGCCTTTCTGGTTCCTATATCCTGAAACTGTTTGGCACATCACATGTTCCCTCATGCAGATACTGTATTTCCTGGACTCTAATCACAGTCCAGATCAGCCTTTGTAAACAGTAAAGTAAAGATAGCCCCTCGAGCTCATCCAACCAGCTCTCAGCCAAAAGCATCTTATGTTAACTTGCTCTTTGTAACAACACTTGCTATAGATACAATGTCTTATAATATATTTAAATTAACTATACCAGAATGTGGTCTTTTTTGGCAATAAACACAATGCCTTGTTTAAACCAATAAGGGACATACTATAGCCTTTGAAATTAATCTATACCCACTGTATTTCACTTCTATGTAATATTATTTTCAAGTAACTTATAATGATAAAATAATTGGCTGTAGAAGCGGTGTGTTTGGACCATAGACTGTAAATTTTAACGGACGTAGTGACGCCTATCTCCACTGTTGAAACAAATGTGCCATCACTTTTGCCTTCTGTGCACATGTGTTAGCGGGCATGAGACCCCCTCATTTAACGAGTGCATTCTAAAGTCCACAGTGGCAAACTAGACCGGTCCAAAAAATAATTCTCTCCTCAGCATCGACAGCATCTAGAAACGTAGCTTTGGACCATCCTTTAACGCCGTTTTCGAAAGGAAAGAAGACGCCATACAAAAGCATTGGGTAATTCTCTTTCTGGGTACACCCCCCCGCCCTGGAGTGAGATTGCAGCACGTACTCATGAACTTTTCGGAGCCGGGACCCTTCCCCACTGGTTTGGACATAGAAACAAGCTGTATTGACTTGTTTCTCCATGATCCCCTGTAGTCCCCGTGTGAAAAGAAGGCTCTCAAACCCAGCAGCTAAAGTGGAAAGATTTAAAGATAGATGCGACCAGTGGATTGTGTCTCAAATTGATTTGTTTGCACTGTGTTTAATTATGTCGCACAGCCGTTTTATGGTCTGTGTCATTCCACAGGTCACTTCACCGCTCTGTCAGAAAATGCGCAAAGGTATTCTGAGGCCCTGAGTCTGAGTGTTCTGAGCAAAGAAATAGCAATCAACATGATCAGTAATTGGCTGCAAGGGCATTTGGATGTGATGCTTCAAATACTTGCATAGATTGTGAAAATACAGATTTTTTTGGTGTAATTCAAAACATTAAAAAAGGATAAATCCATCTGCCATTATATGTTTAATATCCACAGACATTTAAGTCTTGAATATTCCAGTTGGAAATGCGTATGACCAGACTCCTCACTACGCATTTCCACTGGTCAGTCAGCAAATTGAAACTACTGGGGTAAATAGAGTGACATTTTCTAATACTAATATTCATACTAATATACATATAATACCAAAAATAACTATTTATTTGTAATGTATTTTTAGTGTTTACAAAGTGCTGTGCTGTCAGCCTTGTGCACTAAAACAGTCAGATCAAAAAGAAATACTGCAGAATAAAGCAGACAGAAAACAAGAAAGACAAAGTGGAACAGTCAAATACAACAACAATATGTCACACAGCTGTCAATTACTCAACAATTCAAATGCAATAGGGACAAATACTAAGTTGTATGCACTTATACTGAATAATGAAAGGTTTTTTC